TTTGGGCTTTACACTTGTGAACATAACAAAGCCAGATATAAAACCAAGTCCTTTTGTTCTGCCATGTCAAGTATTGCAAGCTTTTTACGTTGATGATCCACGTGATAGGCCATGGGTGGTTCCGATTGTTATTAAACCAAGAGACAACTTTGCTTTGACTCCTGATGATCTCAATGTAGTTGAAGATGAATGTTATGAGATACTTCCTATAAATAATGACATAAATGCTATAGATGATATGGAAGAGTGACTAATTGTATTTGTTGTTCTAATATTTTTTTGAAGTCTTGTTAATTAGCTTGTTTGGATTGTAATCTACTTGTTTTAATGTTATCATTTTATTTGCCATAATTTATTATTGTTTTAAATTTATTTCTATATATATTTCTGTATATGTGTATCTTATTTTCTTTCTCAGGCGAGCAATGTCGGCGGAAGATATTTCTGTTGAGTCTATAGGTGATGAGTCTACAAGCCCGATATAGTTGATTTGGAGTTTGACGGTATGGGTATTCCCGTTGCACCCGGGAGGTAACGAGGTTACACATTGGGACAATTTTGATCCGTCTATTTCATGGCCTAAGCACAAGAAAGAGGGTCGTGTCGAAGGATTGTGGAAAGCATTTAAGGTATTTGAAAGTTCAAATTATTTTATTTATTTATGTTATTAAAATTATTTTGTTATCAATTAATTATGGATTTTTTTGTATGCCTTTTAGGGAACGTGGAAACTTCCTGAAAATGAGGCTACGAAGAAATGGTTCAACGAGATTGCCAATTGTCGTTGGAAAGATGCAAAAAATAAAAGATTGAAGGCGGTTTTTGATAAAGCGCCTAACCTTGCAGCTGCTAAGGCAAATCGTCCGAATAGGATTAGCGCTCAAACATGGGAGAGGCTATGTGATCAGTTTCATTCTATTTCTACTCCGGGGATGATGGGAAGGTAAATTTTATGCTTTTAATTTATAATTATATTTTCATATATTTATGTGTATTAGTTTATGCAATATTTTTCACAGTCCAAGTCCACTAAATGCAAGGACTCGAGAAAGAAAGTGTCGACAAACCACCATTGGGGTCGAACAAGTATCAATAGTTGGTCCTATAAGTGGCTTAATCTATAAATTTAATTTATTTAAGTTTATATAAAATACCTACTTATTGTATAATCTATTTTTTAGTTTAAAAAGTTTGGCAAAAATCCTACCATGTTTGATACGTATAAGAAAGCCTACATGGGCATTGAGAGGGAAACTGGACCATCTATAACGGGACAGCAACTCCTGAACAACTTCTCATTTCGGTAAGTAAAGTGTAATTATATTCTTCAATCGGTAGTATGTTAATTCTTTATATGTTTAGTTGGGATATATGGATATTGATGTGGTTTTTATCTATGAATATGGATATGCTGTTGTGGTTTATTATGTGGATATTTTAGTTTATCATGTTAATTGTTTGATATGTTAATTAAGTACGAAGTTTAGATGTGTGACCATCTATTATTTTTTAATATGTCAAGTTGTTGTGTACTGGTAAGAATTTTTTTTTGGGTATGCTCGTATTTAGATGTTATGCTGTCGAATTTTTGGCTAAACTTTTGTACATAATAATTTTCAGGCTGATTTGGAGCGAGTTTATGAGGAAACACTGCTTGATGGAAGTGATGAAAGCACGGCCAACTCGACTGCAATTGAAAAGGTTTTGGGAAAGAGTAAAGGCCTTGGAATTAAAAGTTCAAGCACAAGGATTGGAAAGTCGAGATTTCTTCAACACCATCAGACGTGGAGGTTCAAATGGAGATTCAAATGAAGGCAATACAAGAACAAATGAAAATGAAAGACGAACAAGTTAATCGATTGGAACTACAATTGCAGGAAACCCGAGAAACAATGCAAGAACAAAATAAAGTTAAAGATGAAAAAGTTGATCGATTAGAAGAGCAATTGCAGGAAACCCGAGGTATTTTGAACACCTTGCTCGAGCGTTTTAATAGTGGAGTATAAAAACGAGATAAAATTAGTGTGCCTCTTGAACTAATACATTTATGGTTTCAAGTTTTTATGTAATTTTTGAATGGATGTTTGTGTTGTATTTTGATATTTAATTGGTAATCGTGGTTTTTAATATTTTTGAGTAAATATGGTTTTGGTTTTTTTTTTTTTTTTGTTTTTTTTAACAGCTGATTTTATTTTGTAATAGAAAATAATTAAAATAAATAAATTAATTCAAAAAAAAGTTTGTGACGAAAAAAAAATCGCCACAAACAAAAATGAGTACTTGAGACGAAATATAATTCCGTTAACGTCGCCAAATTAATTAAAGTCGGGCGACGAAAAAACTATTTAGTCGCCAAAAGATTCAGTGAACTTGCGACGAAATATGCAATTTCGTACCAACAACTGGCTACGAATATGGATTATCCGTCGCGAACAATAAAAAAATATTTTTTTTCAGAAAATACGGTTTTAGCGACGAAGTTGTGTTTTCGTCGCCAAACTTGGCGTCGCAATTGTATGTTCGTCGTTGACTTTGCGACGGGGCGTTTGGCGTCGATTTTTGACTGATGGGGCGACTAAAAATAAAACGTCGCTAACCGTGATAAAACGTCGCTAGGAGATCGAATTCGTCGCGAATTTTCGTCGCCAGTCTTGCGTTTTGGCCTAGTGTATATTGATGTTCCATATACATGAATCATCTAGATTATCTTAGTCAACATTAGTTAACAAAAACATTAGTTGAAATTCAATTTTATTTTATTTGTTTTATTTTTTTTTTCCAACGAAAGGTCGTTGGAGTTCTGCTTAGCTGATTCAACGTTAGTTGACATTAATGTTTTTTCTCTTTTATTTATCTTTAATTTAAATTTAATTTTTTTTTTTGCCGACGGGTTGTCGGAGCTCCAATTAGTTAACATGCATTAGTTGACTACATATTAGCTGACTTCTACATTAGTTGACGTCCAACTTTTCTCTTTTAACTTTCTTTTTCCATCAACAGGACTTTGAAGCTCTAATTAGCTGACTATGCATTAGTTGAGTTCGCATTAGCTGACTTTGCATTAGTAAATATCCGACATTTTTTTTTCTTTTTAAGTTTTTTTTTTCGGCGGCGGGTATTTAGGGCTCTGATTACCTTACTAAGCATTAGCTAGCACCTGGTTCTTTTAGTGCTGAAGTCTTAATTATAGCTCCGATGATCCGCCATAAGAGGAAAAAAAAATTGTGAATGCCAACTAATGTTGAGTCAACCAATTAATCGGAGATCCAACGATCCGTCGCCGGAAGAAAGGAAAAAAAAACAAGATGTCAATTATTGTTGAAGTTAACTAATGTTGAGTTAGCTAACCGGAGCTCCGACGACCCACCACCAGTAAAAAAAATAAAAAGAAAAAAAAATAGAATGTCAACTTAAAAAAAAAAAAAAAAAAAAAAAAAAAAAAAAAGCCCGATCGGGTCGGACCAGGTGGGCGGGGGTGAGTTGGGCTTATCTCAAATAAAAATATGTAGAATTATTTTGATTTTTGAGAATTCAGATTTTTGTGGGATTATTTAAAATGAAAATTAAATAGTGGGTTATTTTTAGTTATCGGAAATTTTATTTTATTAAATAGCACAAGGTGTGGAAAATGTCAATTTATATTATATGCACACCATCTTACAAGTCTAAAAACTCACTATATCATAAGGAAACTTTCTTAACGTTAATTGTTAGTCTTAGTCAAAGTTAAACAACAAACTACTTTTAAACTCTATAATTTACTATAGTTGAGACCATCAAAATTCTATTACTTTAGCGAAATAGCAACTTATCGATAACTTACTACTCATCACTTTATTTAAAATAAGCTGTTGGAGAGCAAATAAGATCTTTTTAAATAAGTACCTCTACCCCACCTTTTTATTTAAGATCTTTTAATGAGTAAAAATAGGAAATAAGTCCATTATCCAAACACTGTAAAATTTAATCTTAAAAATAAGATGTAACAGCTTATCAGCTCTTAAAACATCTTATCAGACGTAAGAGTTTATCAGCTTTTTAAAATAAGCTTAGCCAAACACCCTCTTAGTCAAAGTTAAAC